AGGGCCAAGTACACTCCCTTGGGGGACCCCGGTATCAATTGCTTTTTGGTTTGATAGGACGTTGTTTATTTTAGTACATTGAGATCTGTTGAGTAAATAACTTCTGAACCATAGCAACACCCTATCAGTTATTCCATAATACTCTAATTTTGATAGCATAGTAGATATATCTATAGTTTCAAACGCTCTTTTGAAATCCTAAAATTACTGCTGCTACATATTTAATGTCATCAATTGACAGTTTCCATTTAGACAAGGATTCCTAGGATTATATGATTGTGCTTTGTATGAATCATTTACAGTCTCACGTTAAGCAGGGACATACCTTTATATATGATAATGACAATAAAATGATACTACAGTTGTCACTGGTTGACAGCCAAAATGAAATCTTGATGCGAAGTGAATCATTTAATTAACAATACTAGTGTTAATGAAATTTACAAGTCCACTCAGGTCAAAATTCAACCTTGCAATGAATATTGGTGACATAGAAGTAAGCACATCACATACAGCAAGATACTTATGTCTGAAATTTTACTATAAACTCCCATTCAACAATCACATAGATGTGATTGTCTTGTCATTGCATCTGGAAATTACTGTTGAAGATACCTTGTGTTGCAAAATGTTGAAAAACACTCAAAACGAAAGACTATCAAATTTTACAGAACAACTAATATTATGAAACTGATATCGATTTTACATAACATATATTCAAATATCAAACTTCGTCAACTCCCTTTTAATTCAATTCTTGATTAGTTTGACATATACGTGTACCATCAATTTTCATTTTGGCTTTACAATCCAACAATTATTTTAAATTGAGTCACTAACAAGAGTATAATTTTAAAGGTTTGGACTTCTGTCGACTAATTTTTTACACATTCAGTTTGTTATTTATTACCACAATAATATTTGGGTAATGACTGACATCCCTGATTATACAATTTTAATTATAGGTCATTTGAGGGACCTACAAACATCTGATACACATGATGTAGTTGATTTTTTCATGGTTTTGATGCATTTTGATAAAATTACTTTTTCAATACCTTATATAACTTCTTTGCTTCATTTCAGCACAATTTTGTCATAAAAAAGAACCTTAACTATTACATTGTACTTATAAACATTTTGTGATACAACTTTCCAACACAAGGGAGGGGCTGGGACTAAAATTTTTTCAATAAAATTTCAAAACAGTGTGAAATTTATATTGGAAGGTAAAACAGGAACCTGTGACGTATAATACATCCAAAACAAGCACTTTTCCCAAACACCAGAACTGTAATTATCTGTTTGACTCTAAAACAGGTCTCTATTTATATCTAAAAAGGTACACTTTCGCTTTTCGACACACGTTAATGATTTCAGGTAGAAATTCACGGGAATTTTTTATGAAAGTTCCCACTAATTTTAACAGAGTGATTCATAAAACTATAAACAATGGGCTATGGGCCATTTGAAATGGTACCTTAGTCACTGTACTTGGTTCTCATGTCACACTTCACTATTTCCACACTTTAAAAAGCATCGAAAAATCTAGTGTTATGTACCGATACCAACAATTTTAGACAGTTTTTATTCGTTCTAAGACTGTTTTCCTGAATCGGATATGTGCTGCGTGCCTTGTAAACAAATTTTAATGACTCGCCAACTCAGACTGATATATTTTCTGTCACAGTCCTCACAAGTTATATCATAATCTCCCGATTTTTCAATTTCTGACACCTTGTCTTTAGGGTTACCTATTATTTGTCGAAGTGGGCAAGAAAGTTTGAAGGCTACTTTCATGTTCAACTTTTTTAAAATACGATCTAATCCACTAGTGTTCATACGAAAGGACAATGAACTTTGAATTTGAAAAGTCGAAGATCTACTAAGATTCTCCCCAAATTTACGTACATCAACTCATCTACTGTATTTGTAGAATACCCTTTTTAGCTATTCTCTTAATAACACTTTTCTCAATATCGTACCTTTCTTCGCTAAATGGGAATGTAACAAGCCCATATAGACAAGAAAGTTTAGACCTGCCATTTTGTGTTGTAGACAATGGTGTGAGCTATGAGGAATATATCTGAAAGTACCGGTATTCTTTCTGTAAGCATCATATTCTAGAATGTTCGTAAATTTCAGATTTTTCGAAAATATATGGATTCAAAGCTTATTACACTAATATATCAGATTGTATATCGGTCAGACAAAGCGAGCTATTGAAACTTGTTTCAAAGAACACGCATCACATATTTGATTTCAAAGACCAGAAAAATCTAGTGTCGCTCAATACAACGAGGAGAACGGCCATTGAAAAGAAAATTTCTCGCGAATTTGTACCCTAAATCATTGACGTGCGTTCGAAAGTGAAATTGTGCCGTCCCAGACCCGTAGAGACCCGTTCCATAGTAAGGAATTACTTTTCTTCAACTTGGTTGGTGAAACCTCCGTCGAGAAGAGTATTGCAGTTCTGATGTTTGGGAAAATTGATTGTTTTGATTACATTTATGTATTCAAAGAACACATTTTTCTCTTCAATTAATTTATATATTTCTTTCAGCAACTCCAACATCTGAGAGCACTCAAATCATATGGAAGGAAGGATGTACACTTGGTCAAAATGTGGAAAGTAACCGTACTGGAAGGAAGCGCCGCCATGAACCTTCTAAAACATTTTTTGGGTGGTTTAATGATAATGTTGATCCTTATACTGATGATATAGCAGAAGTGATCAAGGATGATCTATGGCTTAACCCCCTTCAGTATTACTTGGTTCCAGACGTTGAAGGAGATGGAGAAAATGGAATGGAAGGTGAAGAAGCTAGTAGCAGTGATGAAAATGATGACATAGTTGAAGATGACGACAGTAAAACTAAGTAATTGCATTTGAAAATGTTATATTGTTTATAACCTGTATAGATAGAAAGTTTTTTGTTATAGAGAAGTTATAAAGCACTCCTCAATTTTTTGGATGCAAACTATGGAATTCATGTGTTTATTTTGTATTATAGATCTACTATGGTTTTGAATTTCGGAAACTTTTTCATGAAAATTTGGCTGTCATGAGTTGGTTGAATGTGGATACATCACATTTGGTTATATTGATTCCCGCTCTTTGAAATGTAGATAACTCTGAAAATTAAAATCGTTGAAAATTCTATTTCAACACAATTTTGTATCGTAATGGAATTTTAATTCATTTCAGTATGCAACAAATACCAAATGAAAAATCGGAAATCAGGTTTCCAGTGAGGATACTATTATTGTTGTAACCAATGATAACTCAATCTAAATGATAGTATTAAAAAGATTATGTGAATTCAATAAGGTTAATTCATTCTGACCTACCTTTCATAGTTTTCTGCGGGATTTCAAAAACATAACTGATTACTTATCCGTACAATAAAGAAATTATAAATGATACCAAAACTTTCAGATTCAATACATCATCGATTTATCTTTGTGAGATTTTCTCATATACAGTTTAATAAGGTGCTTCATGTGTTTTGCTGTAGAATAATTTCTTCAAGCATGACTAATATAATAATACTTTCATATATTAGATGATGAAAAAGCTGTTGTGCAGCAAAACATGCGACATGATTTGGTAAATTATGCGAATATCTCACAAAACCATCTAGCACAATATTCATTTACGATTTGGCAGGTTGGAAAAATATAATGCATATTCGGCATTTTTTAGAGATTATCAAAGATACACAGGTTAACCAATCAGAAAATAATAGTGTCAGAAAAATCAGTAAGGTGTCAAGTGTAAACTGTTTTTCATTTTCCAGAATATATATGAAATGTATTGTTGGTTAATTTTAAATTCTGAATGATTGTTAAAAAACCCTTCCGGTTTATTTTTTTAAATTTACCATTGATGCCAAAACGTACTGAGCTCCAAAATTTCTTGTAAATGTCAACTAATATTTTGTATATCACAAGTTTGTGTACATTTAGAATGAGTGATTGATGTATTTCCAAAAAATAAATCGTGTTATTTTTAAAACGTGTTTTGTGTACTCACAGTATAATTTATTTTGCCTCTCATACTGGTTTTTATTAAAAAAAAGTGTTTTGATAACCATCATTCAAGAAATGGTAGATGTTTGGATTTACATTGGTTAAATAAGATAGTTTTAAAAGAGATTTAATTTATTTATTTTATGTTTGTGTTATATGTACTCTTTCTGAAACTGGTATACAAATTTATTTTTTTACCGCTCGACTGCTATGAGAGAACATATGTTAATTGAACTTTGCTGGAGACAAAAATGGAGTGTAGGCAAAAAGGAAGGGGTTCAAGTTTTTCTTAAACGTGCCCCCTAATAATTTCTCAGCTACAAATATCTCTTTCATTTGGAGAACGGCGTTTATGTGGAATAAACTTCCTGAGAATATTTTTCCAAATGAATTTAATCTCCAACGATTCAAATCCAACAAGAGTCGTTTCTTTCACACAGGCACCGCTCTTAGAGCGCCATATGGATTTTTCTGTAGTGCTTGTGTTTTGTCCTTAAAAAAACTCAATCGACCGCTGTGTGCACTGGTGGTTCAAGCCGCGAGGCCGGACAATCGATTTTCACTTCCTATCGTCCAACTCGTTCTAAGAATCGCACGTTAAAAGGTAAGACCTCGTTCATTCTTGGCTCGCACAAGTTTAGACTTCTGACAGTTATTCGTTCATGGAGGGGCGACAGCTGGTTAACAGAAAAACATATTTTAAACAATATCGCAGGAGTAAGGTATCAGTAAATTCTTATGACACAAACATCTCGCCAAATGTAATCTTATACAAAAACTTCTCTAATTTTGGCATTTTATGTGTTTCCATCTTTGATCGCCATACACACTCCAGATCTTTCTTCATATTGAGCGCATTATTGACATATTTTTGTATAGAAATTTTTTATGCGAGAAGTTCTAGTCTTGAGATGTTTTTTACTGAGATTTTTTTAGCTGAGATATTATTCCTGAGATACAAAGAGCGAGAAACTACGCCAGGCTAGTATGTGGAAAGAATCTGGTAGAGTTCCATAAAATGATTTACATATTGAAAAATTACTCGCATTGCTTTTCTACATTTTCAATAGAATCGAAAAAAATATGTAGTAGAAATCTTCTCGTATAGAAATGTAGGCTTTCACGATTGACGTCAATGTTTTGGTTGGTTTCCAGGTTTTGCTTGGTTTCCGGGTTTTGCTGTGGTCTTCTTTGACACGTCAAGAAGAGTACTTTCAACACGCCACTGAAGATGACCGCCGCAGTTGCAGTTGAAACGTTTGGAGATTATAAAATCTGTTTCTGTTTTAAAATCTGTTTTTTCGTTCATCATCTGTCGCCCCCATACGAACGACAACTCTCAGAAGTTGAGAAACTTGTGCGAGCTAAGGACTAACGAGGTCTTACCTTTTAACGTGTAATTCCTAACACGGTTGCAGAATCATCCCAACTTCAACCAGATAAATTCTCTCGAGAAAAATATCTGGTCGAGGCAGGAATCGAACCCACGGTCTTCCGATCATGAGTCGGACGCACTACCACTGTGGCCAATTCCACAACATAAGAAAGAAGACCACGGAAAAACATGGAAACCAACAAAAACAAAAATGTTCTCGATATATTATTTCGGAAATGAAAATAGGGGGAGCATTACCTATGCTATGATTTACATATCAAAATATGACTGATTGCATTTTTTACCTTTTCGGATAGGCAATAAAGTATGTAGTACAAATTTTCTCGAGATATATTTGGATTTTTGATATTTGTGTTTAGTACGAAGGTGAACTATTAAAAAATAGCTGCTAATTTTTTAACTCAAGTTTTCAAATTCCTACCAGTTTGAAGAATGGGTGTACCAAAATTTTTCTGTTACATTACTGAAAGGTATCAATGTTTGAGTGAGTTGGTAAAGGAATACCAGATTCCCACCAAGCGATTTCCTGGATCTTATTGTTGAATTATCTGAAAATGGAACTTTTAACGGGTGATGATCAACTGTATTGCCAAACTAACTGACTGTTATAAGAAAACAAGTATAGCGGAGGCACCAGTCAATCTAATAATAACACTGATGATCTTCAAACATGACTCAACCTCTGACGGAAGCACCAAACTCTTGCGAAGGTTCGAAATAGATGAACACTCCAATCTAGCAGACCACTATTATAATCTTCATGCAGTCATTGTTCACTGTGGTTCTGGCGTTGAATCTGGCCATTATTACGCATTGGTCGAAGACGAAACAGACTGATATAAATTTGACGATAGTCGTGTCACTAAGTGTTCTGGCGATGTCTTGAATTTATTGGAGCCTCTGGAGATACCCTACATTTTGTTTTACGAAAGAGGACATTGGCAAATCAAAATCTTCAGATGATGTGGTGCTGCAGGTTTTTCCGGGTTTTCCTGCAGCTGAAAAAGCAAATGTGCTACTGGAATCAATGAAGTCGACCCGGAGCGCCAATTAATTTTTGTTGTTTCATAATTCCATGATTTGTATTACTTTCTTCTTTAATTTAATTTTATTCCTGAGATAAAAAGAGCGTGAGGCTTTCCTAAACTTCGGGGAGCAACGATGTGAAAAAAACCTGGTTAAGAGTTCCGTAAAATGTTTTACTTACCAAAAAATGACTCTCAATGCTTTTCTACATTTTTGGATAGTTTTTTCCTTACTTTTGTTATTGACAGCGAGGAAAGATAAGACAAAATGAAGTGACATAAAATCGTTTGATATCCAAAAAGATGTACAAAGACAAGTATCAATGTCTGATAATATGCCTTATGAAGTATGAAAATCTCAAAACGATAAACACTAAAGAGTTGATGGATTGTTTACTACTTTTCCTTGAAACTTGATCCACACTTGGTTTCTTTTATTTTGAACAACATCATCATAGCCTTGTGTTGTAACTTTTATGATTTCATCTTCCGAAGGTGAAGGTAAAGAGTTTCTTCAATGAAAGCAGGACGGATTATACAATGTGGAATATCTCTAGCTGACCGACATGCATTTTAAAAATTGCATAGGTGTTCAGGGATACGATAATATCACCACATCATTAAAAGTCATACTTATTACAATGAAATCCTTGAACAGTAAGTGCATATTAATCACAACAAAAGACAAAACAAACTTGGTCCATGCCACATATGTTGAAAAAAAATAAATAAAAACAAACCATAGTGATGGCAGTGAAAACTGTCAATATTTCCTAAACTCATTACTTTCATTAATATGATGTAAAATATTCCGACTCTATAAAAATATAATAATGTGGAATATATACTCATGTACTCCTGCATCAACTCAAGTACTGGGATTATTAACGAAACAAGTTTTCTTACTTGACCCCTATTGACCCATCACGATTCTTGGTAGATCTGAAAGGTGTACAATTTACGATCAATGACCATATCAATAACTTGTTTTATTAAAACCAGTTGATCCCATTAAGAGACCGATGACTTACCTATTTCAAGAATGGATACTGCCTCCTTAATAGTTTTGTAGTCTACAATATTTGTACTGTTGGGGCTGTCTTACTTATTCCTTATAATCAAATGAAAAGTGTTTTGAAAATTAAGTATTGGAGAGTACGAAATTACGGAAATAAATACTGAGAGATCGGCATTCATACCACGTAATTATTTGTATCTTGAATCAACAAACTTTCTGTTCCAAAATTTGATTTCATGTATTGTAGAAGTCAAATCAGGAGAGGGCAATTGAATAAAGCAAATAATCATAAGAGATTATGACACAAAAATAACAAATAATAAAAAATAAAATAAATTCCTGCATTCACCTGCCTCACGAGTGTGATACAGGTGAAATTAATATTTTCGTTTCCATACCTACCAAAAAACTTTTCATAAAAACTATAAAATAGACTTTAGCTGACGTAATATAATAATAATAATAATAATCGTCTTTATTGTTACCCAGCTGTAGTTACATACAAATATTTAAATAAATTAGAGAGCTATTTGCTGACATAACAAAAGGCGAAGTTCAACTTAGTTAGCACAAGTGCTACTGAGTTGTTCTTTGAGGAGCTTTTAAATTATTCAGAGGAAAAAACATTATATATGAAGGAAACATACTGAATAACTCAATTTCAATATTCATAGATTTTTTTCAAATGAGTTTGTGGTTTCACACTTGGCTTTCAACTTCGAGAAAAAACTGAAAAGTTTCGACACCGCCCCTGTGCAAACGGAATCATTCGGGAGTTTGTTTTAAGCTTAGAACAAGAAGAGAAATGAAAGGCATTAGATGATGTTTAGTAAACAGTAGTCGGTTAGAAAAATAAAAAACCGGGTGAAAATAACGATATGAAAAACACAATAGGAAATATAACGGGTTTTTCAAGTTCGGAATTTCTGCAACCCGGTAGCAACTTCCTGTTCCAGTGTACTCTTGGGCGGGATTTTAGTGTGAATTAGCAGATTCCACAATTCAAGATTGATATTTGCTCACCATCCATTAGGACTTCCAATCCCGCAACCTGTATTCAATCTCGATATTTGCGGGACTAGGAATTGTTAATCCCGCGGGATTTCGGTATTTTCGGGATCCCGCATATAGAAAATATTAATATTCACATAAGGCAAATGAAACAATGAATTATTCAACATAACTCTGCATTTCTTTCTGGTTTGGTCATTTTGTCAGCATTTAATTGAAAATGTTTGGGAAGGACAAACATAACACATCTGAAGTGTCGTCTGCCAAATACATATGTATTTTGGAGGCAATATAGCCAGCAGCAGAAAATACGCTTTAGGTTTCCACACCAGTCGGCGGTATTCCTTTAAAAGCTTGATATGTAAATGTAAGATATTACCTCATTGAACCCCCAGATTCAGTCATTTCTTTTTTCCATGATGGATTTAAGTGTATTAGGTCGAGATGGTGAATGTCAAAGAACATTACATGCTGACGATATAGTTAAGTCCAACATATGCTACAAGATAAGATCGGAACCAGATGGCGAAACCTCTTCATTGACGTTTCATACTTGATCAGCCTCTTCGTCATCATTGCTATCAGATGGATTTAAAAGGCTGAAGTTCATTCTCATTACAGTCTTCAACTATTTTTTCTCGAAGTAAATTTTTTGCCAGAAGTCTAAATATTTCATCATCACACGGCGCATGGATTTTGGGGATAAATCAGAAGTGCAGTCAAATTTGTTCGTCGTTGTAAAATACGTCGGCGCAATGACAAAGCTAATTCTGAAGCTAACGTTGAGTGATTATCTGCCAGTTTCTTGATCATTTTGTGAAAATGTAATTTTAGCTATTATTTTGTTTGCCTACATTATAAATTTAAAAAAAAATGTATATTTCTGAAACTGAGATTAAGCAGAAGGTAGAGGTAAGGCTCTGTATATCCCGAGTAGTATCTATACCACGTCAGTGTTTATTTTGGCATTTTTTTGTCATTTCTACTTATTCTGCTGCTGTTGCATAAATGACAGTTTAGACTTGTAGTATAGGATTGTTTTTCTTCATTTTTCACCGAACCAATTTTTTGAAAACTCCACCAGAAAACCATTCTTATGACATATTAACTATACTAAATGATTTCAAAGAAATTAACGTAAAAAGTTTCTTAAAGTAGACTCTTAAATATAAGGTAATGTATGAGACGTCTCATACAAATGAATTGGTGCTAGGAATCGCAAGTTAAAATGAAAAATCTCAGTAATACTTAGCTCGCACAAGTTTAGACTTCTGAGGGTTGTCGTTAGTAGGGGGCGACAGCTAATTAACGTAATTATGAAGTAACCGTCATGACGGGATGGTATATTTTGAATAGTGTGGCCTTGGATTAATGTTACAAGATTGTGGGAATAAACTCCGCTTGGTGAGAAATGAAGTTAATGAATATTTCCAGTTAATAAAAAAATGGCCTTGAAGATGAAGCAAAAATCATTATATTTTCTGGTACTGTGTCTTCGAAGACGATTGTGGATACTAACAATTGAAACGTCGTGAAGTAACTTGGTTTGGAGTCTTTTAATGTTTCATTTCTTGTTAATAACTGTTCATTTTTTTATTTTCATCTCGTGTTAAGAGTTCAATTTTTTGATTTTTTGGTTGTTGCTTGTATTTTATTTCATTGTAATTTCTGTTTTTTGCTCAATATAATTGTTTTTTTTTCTAATTTTTTACAGATTCTTTCAGGGATTTCAAATCAATTTATATCATATTAGACAATGGAATTCCGAACTAATGAAATACTCTTAAATCAAGATATTAACAAAATTTCATGAACGGTTTATACTACATTGAACTGAATGTATCAAAATGCATAAAACGTTAACATTTATATTCACTGAACATTAGTTCTAATTATAACCGAAAGCCACTTTACATTCGGCTAATGAAATAAAAAAACTTGCATAAAATACTTTGAGCAATTAAGGATAGTTTTACATTACAGCAATTAAATTTCCAGCTGTCATCCATTGCAAAGTGTTGAATAAGAATTATGGTTGAGTATATATTACATGGTCATGAATTATGTTGATATTCCATTTCCAGTGTCGTTGCTTTTCGAATTTGAAAGCCGTGGTTTCAAACTCGAAAAGCAACGACACTGAAAACCTCAGCCGTGAAAGTCTAAATCATTTTGTTAATATTCGATTTGTTTTAAAGGTTTTTTCATTTCACATACCTTGATGCATAATAAAGAAAAAATTTGTGTGATTATGCCACCTTTCATTATATCTGGTGAATTTGTGACATGTTGCCACATTTAAAATTACCAAAAAAAGTCACTAAATTGCAGATGCATTGCAATAAATTCAAGGTACAGCTTGTCATGTGTAAGAAGAGCTTTCTGAATTCCGTTACAGTCCCGCTCACTAGATGTGCGTTCTTCAGAAGATTATGAGAGCGAGAGAGAAAGAATTCTCAAGACTCTTCCTAGATTTGACAAGCTGTATGTTCTAAGTGCAATTTGCAATAACCTGAAAATTGCATTAGTTGTTTCCTTGCATGGGTACTGATGCAGATGCAATATTACATGAAGATGGTTGCATAAATCTTGATGAAGTACCAAGTTTCATTAAATTCAATATTTTCCATTGAAAAAAAAATATCAAGATCATTAAATTTTGGTAATTTCCTTTTAGTAGAATTATTGTAATAAATTCCGTTAAGTCCCAACTAAGCTGCTTTCTTAATCATATTAGTAAGTTGCACATCGTATTTTTTATTTAATTTGTATTTTGAAATAGTTTAAATGATTTTAGTTTGAAATATCTCAGGGGCGTACCATTTTTTCTTTAAAATTATTGAGATCATTGCCTGTATGCTCATCAATGATGAACATGAAATTCTTAATTGCATGTCAGCAAATGTACAATAACTACCTCTCAAATTTCATGTGCATATCTCGACCGATTTCAATATGTGACTATTCAGTTTTTAAGACAAACTTTAAAAACCTGTATCTCAAAAAACAAGGAATGTGCTAACAAAATTAATTCAACAAACTGTCATCATCTTTTCATACAGAATCAAACCCTGAAATTTGTCACACTTATACACTAACATCCTGTATATTTCATCAAATAATCTAGAAATTTTTAAAATTATAACCTTTCAGCATACAATTGTTTGATTCATATATTGTTATTATTGAAAAGGGAAATCCTTACTTTTTTTGGAATAACAAATATGAATTTTAGGAAAGCTTCTTTTAATTTAAAAAATTTTAGTGCTTCAAGAAGGAAAATATAACCTGCATATAACCAAAAATTTGTTTTTCATCAATCATTGTTTTCATCTAAGAAATGCCGAATTCAGTATCAGCTTCCACAGTACAGTATAATCTCACTAATCTGGCACTTCAGTAGACGGATACGTCCAATAATCCGGCACCCTCCGCCCGGGCCTCCGTCTAGCAGTCAAACCTCAAAACATATCATGTGCACGTGCGTACGTATTTACCTGTTGTTTTGAAGTGAGAATAGTGTGTAGTTAAAAATGTCAAGTAATTGGAAACACATGACACTATTTTATTTACTATGATTTTTTCTCTATAATCCAGTAATCTGAACATTCCAATCATCTGGCACCCTCTGGTTTTAATTAGTGGCTGCCGGATTAGTGAGATTCTACTGCATTATCATTTTATAATTTTTTCAACATTGTAACATACATCTAAAACAATAATGAGAGAGCAGAATATATAATATAGAATTTTATTGTTTTCATTTCAATCGAATACTCATAAAATGTACAATAAACGAATAACANGAAACATTGTTTCAATTAATTGTTATTTTCAAACACTCTCGTCTCGGATAAAAAAATTCTACATGGAAATGAGTATGAGTACAGAAACTTTTACTTTATCAGTTTTGCAAAGATTATATAAACTCATTTGTATTCCAATACGAATCATGAAAAATATGAAAGGATAAGTAAAAAAAAATTTATTACCTGCTGAAGTGGCAGTGGGAGTATGTGGACTGGGTATCTGGAAGCGACAACCCTCTGAAGAGGTAGGGGGAAATCTGGGACCTACATCCATAGACGTAGGCGTGTTAGGACCTGAGACCCTTGAATGTGGAAGATCTGGGTTGTTGCCAGGAAACCCGCTATCCAACGTAGTAGGTAAAACACTAAAAAAAAAAAGATTGAAATATCGAAAAATCAATCAAAATAATTACAAAATTGTAACTATACAAAACTTTGTTTTCAGTTTGATGCATTTCTGACAATAAACATATGTTTAAAATAGCGAGAAGGAAAATTAGGATAGGATAACAGTAGTAGAGAACTCTTTTTGTGGCCATTATCGTCACAATTATCAAGGCAAAGGAAAGTACTTTAGTTTTAATATACTATACTTCCAATCTAACTCATTCACAAGTAATTAACCAAAAGGACCAAAAACTATGATTTAGCATAAGAGTTTGAATCTCAAATCATTCACGGATTTTTGGGTTCAGAGGTTACAGCGAATATGACAGCTATATATCAGTAATAGAACTAATGGGGTATTCAGTCGTAGCTAATATCCTATTCTGGTGAGACAAATATATCCAACAGAAAACGTTAGATATCTCCGCAGATATGGTTATACCCACTGAAAATACAATTAAATTTATACTCTAATTAAACACATCGTATCCAAAGACAGATCACACGTTAGGGCTTTCATGGCAATTGATGAGTCTGAGATTCTACTGCATTATCATTTTATAATTTTTTCAACATTGTAACATACATCTAAAACAATAATGAGAGAGCAGAATATATAATATAGAATTTTATTGTTTTCATTTCAATCGAATACTCATAAAATGTACAATAAACGAATAACAGATGGATAGAAACAAATAATGAGCAATAGTGAAACCTCCGTCTTAAAAAGGACCAAGCAAGTCCAACACTTATATTATTACTAAGTCTTTCTAGTTGTTTTATGGCAAATATACAAATCCAGAATAGCGTTAAGTATTTAGGCGAACTGAGCCTTTGGGCAGGCAACTTTTTACATGAGCCTTAACTGCACTTGAATTCGATGCGTAACACTTATTATACAACTCAATCTCACAATCTTATTATTGCCGGATTACTCATTAGTAATATCAAAAATAAAACAAAATACTCTGAATCACACACTCAGCACCATATTTGCTATTTGGGATTGTAGTACGGAGGCTGTTGCATATGCGGAGGCCCAGGACCTGGTCCCATTGTCTGACCTCCCATTTGACTCCTGGTGCCAGTTGCATAGAGTTGTTGCTGAAAGTTGTGAAACTGTTGTGCGTAGTTTGGATCAGCAGTAGTGGGGCCCATGAATGATGAGTTTTTGAAACTATTGTTCTGGCCCATTGAAGGAGGAAGAGGTTGAGTTGCATCTGGGGCACCCATGCCCATCGGACTGCCTTTAGGACCTGTAACAAACATCTGGGCAGAAGGATTTCCCATATTTGGACCAGAATTGAACATTGAATCAGGAACGCCAGGACCTCCAGGTGGCCCATTGAAAACCATCTGTGGCATTCTCATTCCCATTGGGGGCCTCATTGGTCCTCTCATCATTTGCATCATTCCACCTGGCATACCCATATTGCCTCCCATAGGACCCATAGGAGGTGCTCCATTTCCCATATGACTTCCCATGCTCATAGGTCCCATAACACCATCTTGCGGCATAGATCCGTCCATATGACCCATATGTGGAGGCATTGGACCACCTTGCATGGGCCCATTATTGGGACCACAAGATGGAAAGTACTGCATTTTTGATTCCATCATATTCATAGGAGTTGCCAGCCGAGTTAGGAAATCTATACTAGGAGGGCCTCTAGGTCCTGGAGCTTGTCCTACTTGAGATTTAGCTGGCAAGTACTGAATGGTGTTAGGAGCATTGGGCTTGATTTGGACATTGGCTCCATTATATGGATTTGGCCCAGGAGGGCGACCCATCATCCTTGGCATAGGCATGTGATTAGGAAAGGCACCTGGCAGTTTAGGCGAGAGAGAGCGAATAGGACCCATTGGAGAATTGGGATGAAATCCATGCGGGGGACCTTGCATTGGCATACCCATCATATTTCCAGGCCCTTGATCCATGTCACCCATTCCATGACATCCCCCCATATCCATCATATGCATAGGTGAGCCAAAGTTCATCATTGGAGGCCCTTGATTGTTCTGACCATTTAATGAACTTGCTACACTATTTGTCAACTGCTGACTCATTTGGGCTAAGGATGAAATGGGATCAAAGTGCGATACTTTTGGATTTCCAGACATTGTACTTGTACAATTAGGATTAAGAGGTACGTTATCTCCTCTAGCGCATCCATAATTAGGAAGATCTAATGGTTTTCCCTGAGGGGATACGTTGACAAAACCTCCTCCCATTTTAGCACCTGGAGAAGCATTTGGTCCAGAAAACCTAGGTACGTCCATCATATGTGGGCTAGGTGTAGGAAACAGATCATTTTTAAGTGGATCCGAATTGGGACCAGGGACTGTTTGTACTCTAATTAAACACATCGTATCCAAAGACAGATCACACGTTAGGGCTTTCATGGCAATTGATGAGTCTGAATATCAAATAATGAAGAACGGTTTTCCTCTGGATGGATTGTTTGTGATATGTGAAGTAATTCTATGGAGTAATTAAACAATGTGCCAACGAACTTTCACCAATGTTTTGTAAATTCTTCAACATATCTTTAAGAAAATCCTATTTATTGAATTACTGCTCAAGCTCAACCTGGAACCTGGGTAAGAAAAATAATTCAAGTAATTACAGACAAGTTGCTTTACAATCAATGATATCGAAAATCTTGGGAAACGCTATTAATCAACGCATTCTTGAATATTTATTTAGAATTCTTCCACAACTTACAGATGGTCTCCTTACCTCTAACCTCTTGAACAATGCAATCGAAAACATAGAGAATCTCAGAATGTTGCACTTGACATTTCCAAAGCCTCTGACCATGTCTGGTATGTGGGTGAATGTTATGGATTGTTTTCTTTGTGGTTCTCCAGCATTCTGGTATTTCCCAAGGTGCTTCATTCCTTTTTCTATTATACATCACAATGATGTTAAGAGAAAAGAAATTCAATATTTTGCTTTGCTGACGACAGCGCAATTGCCATTTTAATGGCAAACCAATCAACATTTTCAGCTACAAGAGGTTGATGAAGATTTCTTGTGATCGAAACCAAGCTGGATTCAATGCAACAAAAACCCTGTTATCTTTAGGAAGGTGAATGTGGCAGGTTCGGACAGCATAATGTCAGGACACACAAATAGCTGCGTCTATTGATGCCAAATTGAATGTCTGATTTTTAGGCAGGTTTTAGAAAACAATACAGCAGTACAACGACTTTGTTTCATTTAACTGATGAACTTTTTAGAGATAACAAACTCATTAGTAGTCTCATACTTCTTGTGGCTTTTCTGCTGAAAATATCCACGAAGCAATCTCCTCAATAAATGCCGATCTTGAATCACTTCTTGATATTTCCATGGCTTATAATCTCAAAATAAATGTCACTAAACGGTTATATTCTTTGGAACAAAAACTAAGCGGGAATACATAGTGTTATGAAGTTACTCATCGTTGAGGAACGTAAAAATCTGGGTCTGTGCAAGGATCTAATCTCAGGTTCGGTAAACATGTGACCCATCTCATGAAAACGGTATGACATTCTTAAACAACTTTATTTCAACCGGGATGTATTAAAAACGGATATAAAGGCTTCAAATTTGCGAAATTGACATTCTTTCTTGGAGTTCCTATTGTGAAACTGTTTATAATAGCCAGGTCTTGTCTCAAGTTGACTGTTTGATGTTTCGCTTGCAGTATTCGTGTTCCAGATTTGTAACAAAACATCTCCAATGAACTACATAATGAACTGTCTGAAACATTTCTCGCTCAGAAACTTCAAAGAAGCGACTGAAAGATCAGATCAAATCTTTGAAGACTGTACTTTCTTAGATTTGGCCCTCGCCTGGTACATTCTTGTGCTATTCAGCAGTTATAATTTCTCCTTTAATATTTAGAAGATTGTAGAATCCCTAATTTAGCTATTTTAAATGACACGACAAAATGTAGAAATTTAAATAACCGTTTTGAATAGAACAAAAAGAAATTTTTTACTTTGTTTTTTGTGTATAAAACCTTACCCTGTACAACAGTTAGAGAGAAGAGAATCCGAGCAGTTATTTGAATTGCCCATCAAGTATATAATATGACAATATTATCCACCTCTTTCATATGAGAGGGTTCCTAAGTAAAATTCAATTACTAGCCTCTTCATTTAAGGTTTGTAGTTTTAATACTTTCGAAAAAATGAAAAGAGAAATGAAAATTTCTATGTTTTTTACCACTTTTATTTGTAACTAACGTTACAGCAGTTTCGTCCTAGACGTTACTTACAAATACTTTTATTTGTAGAGTAATATAGAAATTTTCATTTCTCTTTTCATTATGATTTCTTACCACGTAGTAACAGCTACATTCATCAATTTACTTTCGAAAAAAGGTAACCCAAAAATAACGATTACAAATCGCTTTACCTACGCCACTGTTACTTGTTAAATATCTTTGTTCTTTGCGCACTTTTGTAGGAGTTGCACATTTTATTGCCAAAAACCTTATCAGACATGAACAGAGACCAAAAACCTTATCAGACAAGAACAGATATTTTAGTAATATTTATAAATAACAACATTTTGTGTAAAAACAATAATAGTTTTTAAATTTGTTCATTTTGTATTTCAAATCTGAAATAGGACAGGCATTTATCCTCTCATGGAGCTCATTAGAACTATTCATAATAATTTAATGATAATAAGCAATTACGAAAACAAGGTTACAAAAAAACAGATGCATGAAACCTATTTTCAAATATCGACCGGTAAATTACCAGCCTTGAATAATTTGGCAATAGTAGTGAACCAGCGTAATACAGAATTCGGATTTAAACAATGTTTTGAATATAGGCTATACTTAGAGGGAACATCCAGTTAGATTCAAAATAGAATTCAAATAGTTCTATTTTAGTATGGATGTTTAGATTTGAATATATAAATAGAACAAATTAAATCTCACCAATATGTTTTTTGAGCAAATTATTTTAGTAATAGCATTGAAACTTACGGCACCCAACGATTCGAAATACAGGGTGGGCGTACTGAATTTATATTACCGAAATACCTATTCGAAAAAATACTGAACTGTAAGACATGACAAATACTGACGTAATTATCTCCGACTTAAAAAAATTATTGGGATAATTATAATATATACTTTTGAAGTAACCACTCTTCATTTTTCAAATAATTTGGAATTTTTTACACTTTCAGTGGATTGAAGAATATGTAACTTTTTTTTTATCATAAACGAGAAAGGTACCTGATACAGACTCATAATTCATGATATAGATACACTCCATGAAATGTGTTTTTCAACGTCATCACCAGATGCTTTTTTTTTCATATTTCCATTTTTCGATTTACTTCCAAACTTCCACGACGGAAGTTTTGCAATGTGGGAAATGTTAATGGTTGATTCGACATTTGAAACATTCGATGTAGTACAAGGTGTTTGTTCTTTGATATTAATTTGTTGCAAATTTGCCACCTTCCTTATCTTTCTTGAAGACGGGTAGCCAACTACAATCCATTTCTGAGGTATTATTTGAAATACACTTATCTCGAGATATAAAAGTACGCTTTTCTCTACTCAGTTTGTATTCCAAACATTCGTTATGGAATTAAATCAGATATCATTTACAGGATTTCTACACAATATAATATATTGATAGAGATTTAGAAGGCCAAACACTTTCTTTCCCAAGTTATTCTTGATTTTTCTATGAGGTTGGAAGCATATTTTGGCCTCCGAAATGTTGAAACAAATATCTGTGCAATTCTTAGCTCTGTTTTTTGATAGCTGAGAAGAGAAGCCATACGACAAGTTACTGATAAATAGTGCAGTTTCCTTTGTGAAAAATACCTTAAATTTATGCAGAAACTCATCAGAGTGAACTAGAAGTTTGTCATTTCTAGCTATGCTAGGTCTTCTAATTGAAACCACAAATGTGCGGTTAGCTCCTGTTGGTGACACCGTGCATATGTGAAGTTTTTAATTTTTTGTAACCAGTTGTTGTCCATCTTTGCAATTGGCTGCACCGCGCTGTTGAGGCCAATAGCCAGAAACACGTGTCCGCGGTTTGCCCCCCTTTTTTGGAGTGTTATGTCCACTATTTGTTACAATTATGGACAGAACACTCAGAGAGAAAGATGTTATTGAGTGTGTATGATATAAATCAAAAGGGAAAATTTTTGGACAGAACACTCAAAAAATTAAGGCAAACCGCGGACACGTGTTTCTGGCTATTGGCCTCATCAGCGAGGTGCAGCCAATTGCAAAGATGGACAACAACTGGTTACCAAAATTGAAAAACTTCACATATGCACGGTGTTACCAACAGGAGCTAACGGCACATTTGTGTTTCCTGGACCCGGAAGTCACGCAGGTAGCTATAGCTGCCTACGTGGAGATGTTAGATGATGCCTGGGAATGCTAGGTTTTCCAATTGAAACCTCCGTGGTGATTTTGATAGTTTTCTTGTAAACACCAGATCTATCAACTGAAACCACAAATGTGCGGTTGGCTCCTGCTGGTGGCTCCGTGCATTTGTATTTCTATCTTTTGGTAACCAAGTTTTGCCCATCCTTACACTTGGCTGCACCATACTGATGATAGGCCAAAAGCCCGAAACACGTGCCTATGGTTTGCCACTTTCTTGAGTGCTATGTCGGATATCAACTTCTGTTTCTACATCAAGACACTCAATAACTTTCATATTTGTATAATTTCCTGGACCCGGATGTCACGCAGGTAGCTATAGCTGCCTCCGTGGTGATTTTGATAGTTTTCTTGTAAACACAAGATCTATCAACTGAAACCACAAATGTGCGGTTGGCTCCTGCTGGTGGCTCCGTGCATTTGTATTTCTATCTCTTGGTAACCAAGTGTTGCCCATCCTTACACTTGGCTGCACCATACTGATGATAGGCCAAAAGCCCGAAACACGTGTCTATGGTTTGCATGATTCCAGATGAAATGAGGAAGACGAAAAAAAAAAAAATTTAGGATAGTTAGGCGCGTTTCCGCCAAAATTTAGGTCGATTTAATGTCAGGCCGCAAGCGGAAATGCGAAAGTGAGCTAGTTAAGTAATTGTTTCAGTTGAACCTAAAGTAGTACCGGATTGATCTAGGCTGTATTTTTACATGTGAGTGCATGCTTCGTTAACAGTTCTTTCTGATACTTTAAAGTCGTCTAACTTGTCCATGTCTTTAAAGTTTACAGAAAACACTGCACGGGCTTATAGCGTTATTCCTTCATTCCTTTGTAGTTAAACAGGTTGGATGTTTGCTATATTCTTCTGGACATAATTTGGGTTGTATTGCGATACAATACCTTACATTAGCATAAAAAATGACGGGTTGTCTCCGTCCCTTTATTGCATTGCTAGCAGCTAAGATCTACATTATTAAGCCCTTTTTATCAGGTCTCCTGAACAGCCAATGCCCAATAAATAACCTTGTTATTATTCTTAGCAGATCCCTGCTTTATTGAAGCTGATCATCAGTTCCTTTCTCAGACAGTCCCATTATAAGAGACTGATCAATTTAGGAAATTGGCCTTGAACCAAAAGAGAAAGTTGGTTGCCATGTTATTCCTATTGAAAATTATCAATAACAAAATATATACTACAGACATTCTTTCATTATTTCCATTCAATGTGCCAGAAAGTAACACTAGACGGACTTAGCTTTTCAACATTCCTTCGAACTTCCTAACCACCAGAGCACCTCTTGCTGTTATAATATATTAGCTAATAAATTCAACTAGTCGATAGATATAGACTGGAGTATGTTCCGAAATAAATTTTACAAACTAGTTTTGAACCATATGATAAATAATGAGCAGTAAACCTCTCCTCTTCACTTGTTACTTCACCATCCTTACTTATCGGGAGTTTTTTGGGGCTCACTACAGTTTTGGAACTGCAGTTTTTGAGTCGTATATTTAAAGTATGTTCGTTTTTTTTAGGTCGATCCATGAAATTTAGTCTGTAAGGCTTGTTTGGACGAATAAATAAATAAAGATTTTCCTTATATCCAACAGGTGTACGTACACCCAGTTACAGGAAATGTTAAAGAAAATATGCTGAAAAAATAACATATAGTTTCAATTGACATATTGCAAACAAATTAGTTTTCACAATGTTGATATAAAACAAATGAAAACTGTAAAAAAAATCTATAAATGAAAGGTTCTTTGTACAATCCGTGAGAGTTTAAGGAACTTACATTAATATCACACATGTTGCATACTGAATTGAAATTATAACACATTATATTTACTGGTGCTCTGAGATTCGAATTTATTGAACTACTCTGACAATAAAATGTTTTCTCGTATCTGGAGTTGAGGCATGGTACATGAAAATTGATTTTTTGTGGGAGTGGATCACAAGAAATGTTGATATGGGGTTGATGATGATTTTTTTAATGCCTGAGGTACCCAAGTATTCTGGCACCCGGTATAAAGTCAATATATGTTTGTTCATACGTTTTCTCAGTTCTTCACAGCATTCCCAGGCCAGTCTCCATAGTCACTTTTTGGTTCGTCAATGCCCCGAGTGCAACTTGGCTGTCTGTCAAAATATTGATCTGCTCATTTCTTTCAGACCTCAGATGAATGTTCCTTGCGNTATACATCGATGTTTCGCCTTAAGACACTTGCCCTAAGGCTCTTCAGTACCAAATTGGATAACATTATAGAAAATACACACACTTCATTCATAAATTACGATTTTTAATGTCACGGAATAAGCTTGATCTACTTATGTCATCGATGACATCGTAATGAGGATGACAACTGAGACCAACTGAACCTTCCAGATATCAAGTGCCCTCTCGTGAAGACTTCTTCACAGTAATCCAAGGCTCTGCCCTAATGGACCTTCTTTCCCTAACTACAAGTGGGATCACTGATTAATGAAGCAACCAACGATCTAATCTTGAGTCTACAGAGTACACGGAAGTTGACTAAAGGTTCCAACTCTCCTTCCTGTAATGTTGGATCAAGAGCTTCTTAGTTCCCCAACTCTTAATTGGGCTGACAAACTTGAGAGACTAGGTGGTGAAGGCCAGGAGTGACTTATCTCCTCCTCAAAAGCATGATATCTTATGAATATTCCTTGCACCAAATTCATGAGCAGCGGAATCTGCATAACGAAAAAAAAAACAAACTTCCCCTGAACAGGTACGCAAACACTTACACTCACAGATGATTCATCCATACCGGTGATGAAATAACCCCTGCATGGCTGAATTCAATGTATCGTCAGTTATAGCCAACTTTGAGATGCCCTCGTATGTTTATGCTGCGGTTATTAAGGTGGGAATCTTACACGTTGATCATCCGAAAATCTCAATAACAACCAATTCACTTAAATTTCTTCAGTATGCCATTAAAGAAACCGTGGTCTGTCATGTGGAAATTCAGACTCTGGTTAATAATAGACCCACTCACCTTGGACCTACCTACTAAGGACATTGTTGGAGTATTCAGTTTTATGTCTATATTTCCATTATCATCTTCTCTTTTTGATGATGACATTTTCTTTGAAAAGATACACAATTTCGAGTGTTTTAAACTATCGAATATCTCATTTGTCATTTTTGTTACAGTTGATCAAGACAATTTAAAGGAAACACCAGCACTGCAATACCCTTCTTAAAACACTTTTCGCCAACCAGGAATGATCAAGAGCCAAAATTTATTTTATTGCAGCATACAAGGGGTGTTGAGTTTCAGGTCTTCAAAAACAGATATACATGAAGTCCTCTTTTAAACGAATTTTTATAGGTTGATCAGTTTGATCAACATACTTAATGCTGCAATCGTCATAGCTTTCATGAATCCCATTTTTCCCAATATTAAAATTGTCACTTGTTGAAGTGAACAAGTAATTTTGAAAGCTACTTTCATATTATTTTTTTTTCAAAATACATTTCATAGTACAGTAATATATTGATGATAGATAGATAGATACATTTATTTCAACAGATTATTTTATAATCATTCACAGGAGTGGCAGAATATTTTTGTCTGAGAAATACGTCAAAAGGAAAATTGTGAAAATATTAAATATGTGAACATATAAATCTAAAAATGAAACATTCCAAATGAATAGCTTCAAGTTTCAAACACGATATAAAGATTGACACACCCCAAGGTAGGGTTCTTGGGCCACTGCTATTTCTGCTGTATGTTAATGACCTTCCTAACCACATCAGTCAAGGACGTAACTTTCGTATACGCAGACGACACAACAATCATTACAGCTGAAATTATCAATCAGGTACAGGCCAAAATAGATACTGTAATAAAAGAATTTACATACTGGTGTGAAGTATATCACCTCATCAATAATGCAAAGAAAATGGTCTCCATTGAATTCACTAGTATCTTAAAGCACAGTAATAAATTATCAATAAATGTTGGTAACACAGAAGTTCACAACTCAGAATCAACGAGATTCCTAGGCCTCGAACTAAACCAAAAACTTTCTTTCAATAGACAAGTTGATGCTCTGTGTAAAAAACTCAACAAGCTGTACTTTGCATTTATTACTCTGAAATGAGTTTTCACAGGCACCACCTAGTAAAACTATATTATTCTTTAATATACAGTATCATTAGTAGTAACAACTGTGTGGGGAAGAGCTACAGACACACGCAGAATTTTCATATCACAAAAAAAATTCATAAGGTTAATATATGATTTGGACTACAGAGAAACATGTTCATTGAAAACAATATCCTAACACTAACATCTATCTATCTCTACAAATTAATAATATATACCCATCAGAATGCTAAAAATATGAATAGAAACAGTGACTACCATGAATATGATACCAGACAAAAGAGCCCTCTATATGCTGGAGCTGTATTCTTATTGAAGATTATTCTGATAATTTTTTTTGACATAGGAAAACTCTATTGAACTCATGACATGACCCCCAGATGATTATCCCTTGTCTCATAACCGAGTAAAAATTCGCATAATATACTGTAACTAGTTCTCACCTGTTAATAGAAGTTTGGTTTCATCAGCATAATTGATCTTGTGAGCAGTGTTTATGTCTGCTATAACCTCGTTAATATCGTTGATAAATATAATGAATGATATTGGATCGAGAATGCTAGCAAAAAATTGAAATTTTCGTAAAGCTATTCATATGCATTGAATTATTATACGTTCTATAGAAAACTTTCCACAAAAATTATTTTGAACTCATTTTCTAAGGAGACTATCTTTACTTTTTATTATCTATAAAATATTGGTATTTCAAAAATTTTGCCGCCCCCCTGTACATGTAAATACATATCTTTGCACAATACTCTTTAACAACTACCCCAACAACTTCTTCCCCAGCTAATACCAAGCTAGACATTGAATTATATCTGACAGACATTTATGCAAAATATCTCACAGAGGTTAGTCTTGCAGATGTTTCTCTTTCATCCAGAAACAGGACCTACACACCGGTTTCGAGGTATAACCTCTCATCAGTGCAGTTACTAATTAACTATCTTTATCTTAGACGAAGGTTTCGTACATGCAGTCGAGCGGCGTTGACTTTAATCAAGTTCCAAACACACTGCCGTTTGGGTCGGATCTTTACTACACTGACCAGAACCTACTGTGTAGGTTGTTGGGAAAGATGAATGTTCAGAAATATTTATTTTCTTGTACATATGTATCTCTCATCGATACAGTTTTCATGATTTTGATTTGAAATCCTGTCTGGTGTCATATTACAAAAAAGTTTCGTTTTGTATGCATTAAATATATCATCCGGGCCTTAACCTTTGCATCTCTTTCACAATATATGTGTTCTGCTGATATTGTACAGAGTCTGGAAAACACTGACCTCAGCTGGATAGGCACAGGAAATCTTCAGCACCAATTTACTTAGCATTGGCTTTGTTGTTATCCATTTATTGGCACGTTAAAATTTGTTGTTTGATATTTGAACATTTTGATAAAGCCTCTTCAATTTTCATATATTTTCATATGTCCTAAAGTGTCTTGTTTTTCTCTTTCTTTCCAAATCATTGAAACTGACAAATCCAGTGTACTGTATTCCTTCGCAAAATATTTATTTGAAGTTCCACTTAATTTGCCATATTATGTGATTCCTCTTCAATATTAATGTCTGTTTTTCTTTAGCAACATGTTAAAATCAACAAACAGACTAGAAGCTACTGAGAAAACCTGTTTGACTTTAATTTTACCGACCATAACTCTCTGCACTTGGTTTGCACATGTACATATTTTATTTCTAAAAATTACAACACGCCATAAAGGGCTGTTATTGTTTAATTTTACGATTTTTTAATAGCCATTGACTATTGTTTCATACCACACCTGAAAACTGTTTTCAACTTAAATTATAAAAAAATACAAATCATTATAAAGAATGTAAATGGTCACTTAATGCGGTATGTGATATGTGATAATTACCAATAAATTGAGTAATGTTTTAACCAGCAATGTATTCGTGATCGGTTTCCACTGAATTTATTTTTTTGTTTGTGATTTATAATTTCAGGTGTGATTTCATCTTCCTTTTGTATGAGAGAATGGCACCTGTTTTGACAGGTTCAATTTGAAAATACTCATTTTGAAAAATAAGGTGTTTGGATCAAATTGTATTGAAAATTGTATTTAAAAAAAACTTACGGAGGTGATATGATATTGCCATCTTTCAGACTTGTATTGGGCTGTTTTTGAATGATCAGTTCTTGTCCTTCGAAGGTGTTGAGGTACTGTATTTGTTGGGGGGAGGGAACAGGCATCAGATTTGGTTCTTTAACACCAGTTGTAGGTGTTGTGGAACATGTTGTTGTCGATGTGCTAATCTGTTGTTTTTGTGCCATGGATTGAAGAGTTCGACAAAACATTCCATCCACTGAAAAATAAACACACAAATTCTGATAAACAAATACACAGAATAAAATGAAATGTCTATTAAAACAAATAATGGAACATACATGTTTCCAATGAGTTAAACATTATAAAAATATGCCAAGTAAGTCAAATAGAGAAATTTTAAATAAAATTAATTTTCTTTTCACAAACACCAAAGCGTGTACAAATCTACCTGCAAGAATTAAAAGTAATTTAAGATTACTCACCTGAAGACTGATGTGTTGAAGTTGGTTCTGTATTACTACTAGTTACACTAGGAGAAAGATGATGTGAAGACAGGGGTGTGCCAGGGTTACTATGATTAAGTCTTGGTGCTGAAGGCGAGTCCTGTGACGTAGGGCTTTGACCGGTACTCATATGCCTGGTTAAACCAAAAGGACGATTTGGATCTGCCGGTGAATTTAAAGCAGAAGATGCTCGAGGTGAGGGTAGAGATAAATTAGACGTGGGATTGTTAGGAGAAGTAGGATTAGGACTTTGCAGTGCTATCGGAACACTTGCTGAACGTGGAGTTTGGTGATATGGAGGTGGAGGTCCTTGTAACCTTGGACCATTTCCTGGAACACCTCTCGGCATTGCATTCTGACCTCCTCCTCCCACTGGCACATTTGGTCCCATAGGTGGACCTGTCCCACCACCCCCACTTACTGGACCAACAGGAACATTAGGGCTGGGACCCGGTTTCCTTTTGGTGTCATCATAAAACTGGTGATGTAATTTCTGCCACTCCATTTGTGCAGCAACAGGTGCACCTGGAGGTAGGTTAGGATCTGAAGGACCTCCCCCTTCTATACTTTGACTTTCTGGAAGAAGCATTTGCTGAATCTTACGTATTGTAGCCAATTGTTCTTCACGGTGTTGCCGCTGCTGTGGGGTGAGGTTCTCGTCAGGCACTTTGACACCCTGCAGTGAGGGCTGCACATTAGCTAAGGAAGGACTACATGCATCTATATCAGGCACCACATCAGGTAATCCATTAGAAACGGCATCTAGACCCTCCAAATGATTATTTTTTGTATCCCATGGAATATTTGCCTCATCCAATCCTACCATATCTTCCAAAGGATCAGATCCCAAAAAATTGTCAAGGGTGGTTTGAGGTTTTGGACCAAGTCCTGGACTACGATTACAACTCTTTGTTTTCATCATGGCAATGTTGTTGAGCCACTGAGCAGGATTTTGACGATTGAATTGCGTTACTTTCAATGGGTTTTTCTCTAAGTACTTCTTTGTACCTGGTTGGGCACAATGATAGGCAATTATTGACTGGTATCTGCCTTGTATAACTTCATCAGCTCCTGAATTAGCCAACAATGTGGAAAATACGAAGATCTGACTTTGTTGTTGCATGTATTGTACCTCCATGGAATTTGGCTGTTTATTAATTACATTACTTACAAGTGGTTGCACACCTTCTGGAGGTGGAGCATGCGAACCACCTCCAGGAGTAGGCAGCCCCAGACCAAATGAATCTCCGCCTAGTTCTCCATCGATGCATTCCTCCTGTTTAAGAGGCAGTGAACTATTATCAGGTCCTGGTACATTCACTGAATCTTCAGAATGAATATCTGGCTTACGATCCAAAGAAGGTTGCATAGAACCAGTATTAGTAGATCCAACAATACCTCCATTCTTAGTAATGGGACCAGCACAGGGTTCTTTCTTAACAGTGGGTTCGTCTTCTTTTTTAACACGAACTTCTGTACTAGCAGCTTCCTTATCTGAACTGCCAGCCTCATCTTTTGTAGTATCTGAACTTTTCTCCGGTTTTTCCTTGATCATTTCGCACTTTTATCACATTCCCCTTCCTTTCATACTCCACTATCACATCCACCATACACTAAGCATGTATTTTGCCAGAACTACAATCTTAGCCCCTATTGAGATCAACACTATATATTAATAGTCATTCCTTTTATTTTAATGCCACTGAATTATGTTTCACATCACATATGTTCTAATGTTTTTATTTGCATTCCATCATTTTTTATTTTCATTTCTTAACCAAATTTGAAGAGACGCATACAAGCTATTCTGGGTCGCCGTGACATTGCACAATATTCAGTTTCGCTAGATTTCAGTCTCTTATTCCAAAAACGTTTGCGGAACATCAATGGTTGTTGTGAATTTCTGTTTTATTCCATCAAAAAAACTTATAACAAAAATTCTCACACGACAAAATGCCAAACTGTCCACACTCGTTGTTACCAACTAATTTTACATGATACCAACCTAAAAACACAAAAATCTCTTTCAGGGATTTCGGAGTTTAAGTCATGTTTGCCTACCTTGAAACATGGCGCGGTGGAAGAACAAAACTGCTCCATCAGAATGTTAGAAGGCACACATCAGAACTGTGACAGTTTTCTTGACTCACTCCACGAGCCAAATTGGTGTCATAAGGAGATGATCTAAAATATGGTACGCTACGATAAATTAATTACGTGCCAATTAATTTTATCGAAAAAGTACGTTATTGAAAGATTAAATATCTCCATAAGCTGCTGCCACTCTCTCAATTATAAAAATAAAATTCAAGGCAGATAATATAATAATTTATCTCAAAATAAAAGTAGACAATATTTTCCACTCCTCTCATTTGATTGAAAAAATTGAACCAACTATCAATATCAATATTAGTAACCGCAACAGCTTTTGTATATTTTATTGCTCAACAACATCATCAAATGATACCACAGATTACAGAAACAAGTGTTCTATGAACAAGATTGTCATAAATCTAATTGACCAGCCTGTATATTTATATTGGTAACAATAAAGGGCATCCTCAAGAGCAACAACTCAAGTAATTTTTTTAATTATATAGAAGGTCGTTATTTCTCTACAACCATTCTTCATAGACGAACATTTCTACAGAATAAAGCTTTCTTCTTTATTCTGTGACATTTCAAATAACTGATGACAGGTGTCTTGAGTTCGTATTTTATGATCTCCTGCTTTGAGACAGTGATTCCTGGCATTACTTCAGTAACGAAGTGTTACTTTTCGACGTTTCAAATCACTAAATCACGTTTTTATCCATCTTGTTACGATTTGAGAAACTTCGAACTGACGGTTCACGCACCAAAATTAGAGGTGACGTATCATAACTGAGAGTTACCGAATCAAAATCATCGATTGAAGATCATTTTGACACGTCTCCTGGCTGTTTTGAAGTATTACTTCTAGAGATAAATCAGCTATATAGTGTTGCCAATCCCTTGGCGTGAAATGCGTCGTATTGTGTGCAATTCTTTCAAAAGTTACAATTTTCTGTTAAATGTTACTTTTTTCGATATAATTTGTTACAATTTTTTTCTATCAGGAACAACACTGCTCAAAAGTTATTCTCAGTCTCATGATTTTTAACAAAAATAAACGTTTTCTGAAGCGTGTGGCGATTTTTCATGATTTCTCTAAAAACAGTACACTTATGACTTGATTGATTCATTTTTCGCCATCTATTGGTGTGGAAATGTATTTGTAAGGACACCGACTTATTTTCTCCTGTCATGGTGTGGCGCTGCCTCAGTCATTTTGTTACGATATGGGTACTGCCAAGAGATTTCATTTATTTGTTTGTTGGAGTTCAGATTTACTTCTCCCACTTCTCGGTCGTCCATTGTTCTTAATGGCTGAAACTAAGATGACCTTGAGTTGGATGGGTGAGTCTGTGGCTGGAGGTTACACATTTTTCTCTTTTTCAATTGACGCCTCTACATAAATTATTTGTGAATGATTATATAGTTAAAATCCTTGAAATTATTCTAGAACTAGAAAATGAAATATGGATCACTGATAAGTAAATGACTAACCTTTCATTATAATTCGGTAACTGCAATTTACTAGGTAGTTATAGGTAACCAATTCTGACATAACGGGTGTAAGAGTTAAAAGTATGTACCTAATTTACTTTTGAGGTCCAAGGCTTCATTGATGAGATTATTTTAAAAACTCTGAAACTGAAAATGTATTCGTTTTTAAACAGAAGTAGGAAGTTGATGTGGGCATCCATGTTTAAAAATATTCCAGTGGAGACTTTTAATTTTCTTGTTGATATTTTTGGATACCTACTACAATCTGAAATATGGGATTATAAAGTTTATCACGAAATTCATCTTTTCAGGAATCAAAATATTATTATCAAGAGTGAAATCTCTGTAATTTTTTCATTAGTGTTTTTTGTAGTCTGTTTTAAAGACGGGATGAACTGATTTATGTAAATGTAGTTCCAACTTGCTGTTGCCGCGACTTCGTTTGCGTGGATTTTAGTTTTTGGGTCTTTCCAGATTTTCTCACAGATAAATGTTCTCATGTATTCACCTATCTTTGATTCATAAGAAAAACGTTTTACAAACTATGAATATAGATAAGAAGACTAGCTCCGCTACAGTAAAATAAAGGCAATTTATTGTTATATTATTATTATAACCAAAGATTCAGCCAAATCAACTGATTCAACGGTATTTTCATACCTTCTATTTTTTTCCAACAAATGTTTGATGTGATTCTTTAAATTTACTTGTGTTTTTGAAAGCAGCTGTGAGGATAACGATAAAAAGTACATAGGTCAAACCAAACGGACAAGGTTTCATATTCAGTTTCATTGACCAGAAAAGTCTAGTGTTCTCAACATGATATAGAGAACGGTCACAGAATGATGTTTGTCACAGATGAATGTTTGAAACTGTTGAGACCGTTACACGTTGGATGCCTTTGTAAGTTTAGAAATCGAAAAATGTGAAATGGGATCTATAGACGGCGGCGAAGGTTCCGTTACTACCAGTCCTTTGTTCACACTCTTTTCATAATTAGGTACAGGTAGAAAACACGTATGGATTAGGTATCAGTGATTAGGAACAATAACAAAATACTAGAAATGATTTATTGACCAGGTGAAGATTCGTCTAGTTGCATATAAAAACATTTACATATAGAATATAGTTATCTCCTGACAGTGTCAAATCGGTCACTGCGGAATGCACGTCGAGAGGCAGTATTTTTGTTGTGCTTTTATATAAAGATAAGCTGTTTTTTAGTTTATCAAATCATCATTTGTTATTGTTATTTTCTTATTTGAACATGTTCTGATATATACATTTAGAATACAAATTACAAACTTATTCGATGTAGTTCTGCTTATAGAAAATATTTTTCTTACTAGCGCAGTCACTTCTTGGGTATACTTTTTTATAACTTATAGGTATTTCTTTTCATATCGTTCAAAAACATAATGCCCTATGAAACATAAAGTAGTTGAAAAATATTCTTCATTTTTTTCAGTATTGATAACTTTATTATACATTCTTCTGTAATGTAATGATACAAATCATTTTGATAAAAAGTTATTAAGTAATCAATGACTCCATTAGTGGTAGTACGAATCGTAATATGGCACTGCAAAAAGTGATATGAAGAAATTAAGTTCTTACTACAAAATTCCACAAATCATGTAATTTGTATGTGTTCGTGATATAAAAAACTTCATTAGAATCCAACATGATATCTTTTATTATGAAAACATAAATAACACAAATCACTCAAAAAGTATGAGTAGGAAATTTCAATATAAAATTGCTGAAAATATAATCTGATATTTATAATTCGTTTCTCAAGATTGTAACATCCAGTTTAAATTTTTTCGAATTGAACCCTAGAGCTTCAATGCTCTTTGAGCTCAAAAAAATACCCTTTTTAGATGCCTTGATTTCTTCTGACGATGTAGAGCATAGGGAAAATACAGAGCTCCTCACACTAAGAAGAACGTCTTCTTTGGAACTGTCCTTTACCTCTGCTTGAATTTCAAAGTACTTCGATGCATTCTTATTGCCCAAATACCACACCCATAACAAAATGTTTGGTATTGCACTAAAATAAATATCATTAGTATACACCTCAATGAATTTCCAGTTATATAAACTTACGTATGATCTCCTTCAGCTGTATCTAGGCTGATTTTTAAAAAGAAAGTATTGTCATTACTATAAATAACATACGAGATATCTTCAGTACCATTTATTTCTCCTATGAAAATACTGATATTTGAAGTAAAATATTGAACCACAGGACCGGTATCGCTGTGGTTATTTCTAAAGTGCTGAAAGACGTCCTCTCCTGCAAAAAAGGAACGATATTCACTGAAACCATCATATGGATAATATAATCATCCAGTACAATCTAATTTGTGCATTTTTATATATTTTACGTTTATCGAAAGCCAGTGTGACGTCACGAGATATGTGCGATTGTCTAAACCACTTCTGAACTGTTATAAAGTGGATTTTCGATGTTTGATATTTGAATGAAGATATATTCAGTCCAGGAAAGTTTCATTAGGGCATGTTCAAGTAATTA